AAAGCCCCTCAGTGGCACAGCAGTATGTCTGCGGACTTACAACGCTAGAAACTGGGGTTTCGATACCCATGGTGGGCAGAACACAGATAGCCCATTGTGTAGCTTTGGGCTTAACTTCAAACAAACAAGCATCAACAATACGAATTTATTAGAGTGATTTTCGGGTAACAAGATTCTTGTAAAAACAATTCTATTGAAAAATAAGCAAGCTGTGTAATGAAGAATTATCAGAGATTTATAGAAACACCGGTTTTTATGCTTTGGAGTAGTATGACTGACGGAAACATTTGAATGCGTCTTTTTACCAGGAAAATTCCACAAAAATGTGCAAACATTTGACTAGTTAACAGAATAGCTTGGAATATTCATTTAATCACCGAACACAGAATAGTCACGATTGTCAAGTATTAAACTTTATATATGTTTTACTGATTTTCTTTTTATTTAAAATTAGTTTCATTAGAACATATGACTTATTTTATTCCAACCACATAGAGAAAACTTACACGATACTGTTTGTTTTTCTAGACAGTGAATACATTCTTATACTATTTCATTTATATGTTACTCTATACATAGAAGGTTTTTTTATGATCTAAATATTTTTTAAATTCTTGAATGCTACTCCTTTTGTAGTTAGAAGTAGAGAACTGAGTGTTTATGGCGAGAGTAAACTTTTTAAACATAGAAATAATTTCCCTCAGAAAGAGTGCAATCAGAAAATCGAACTCATTCATCTAAGAAAAATAGTAAAAAAAAAAAACCAGAGACCGCGGAGAACACTTAATGCAAAATAAAAGAGAAAAATTTAGATGGCCAACCAGAAGTCTTTTAACTTTCTAATTTGAGCATGCGCATTTCTCGCTGAACACGCAAAATATAATTTCTCCTGTATATTTTTTACAAGAAGGTGACAGGACGAACTTAATTTTGGCTATACATGCCATTACGATTTGCACAAATCCTTTTAATTTTTCAGTTAATAGAAACCAGTGATATAATTTAATGAATATATCAGTATTGCTTCCTTGCCATTTCGGTTTCACCATTTTATCCCATTGTATAGTATTATCTGATAGAAAACCCTTGTGTATTCGAGTATGTTTCAAAGTGATGTAACAATATGGCCATGTTCTGGTTTTAAAGACATATTTTAATGTGTTTATATTGGGTAAACATTTTATGTCAGAATTAAGAACATATCAACTTATCATAACCATCGCTAAGTTAAATTTGCAACTCGAGCAGCTCTTTTCCAATTAGTAAGTATTTGGTATTTCCAACCAGAAAGGCATCTTATGTGACACATGGGCTAAACGGCTAAGTCACCGATCTCGAGATTCAGGAATAGCCTTTCTTAATTTAGAACTCTTAACAAAGGCAAAGCAAACAATCAACAATGCCTACCCTCTATATACTTACACATAACCGAATATCGGAATTAAATATCGCTCTCATAACACGCCCACAGATGACAAAGACGGAGTCACGAGCCCCATCGGTAACCCGACACCCTAACCACTAGGCCACGAATAGCCTGTTTTCAAACAAAGAATGAGAAACAGTCGATTTTCTGATAAACCACCTTCTTTTTTTACTTCCTGCTTCCTTAACTTTTACATTGTTTAACTTCCTGTAGTCCTTACAAATCGGATATAGTTGTAGAACCAACCGTAGTTGTCCTGTAGAACGAGACCCTGTTTTTTTGTTCTCCCTTCTTACAGGTTCATTACTTCCTATGCATCCGATAACTTAGAAGTAGATCTGAGAACGCTCAGAGCTATACGAGTGCTTCGGCCTCTGAAGCTCGTTTCTGGGATTCCAAGTAAGTGAGGAACTCTTGATGTCCATTTCTTTACAAAATAATTAAATCAGTTTTCCCGTTTCAAGTTCAGCCTTCTCAAAAACAAACGTTAAATATCTTTTTCTGGACTGAAACTTACTTCAATTATACTAATAGTTTCTAATTTGGGTTTAAAAATACATATAATTTGATTTAGTTTTTCTGTAACTTTTAGATGGTTAAGTCTCACGACAAACATTTTGAATAAACATTATAAATACTTCCTTTCGTGTTAGAATTTTATGATTATTGTTATTAGTTATAAAGTTCTATATCTATCCATCCAGTTGATCCGGCATGGCCAGGTGGTTAGGGAGCTCGACTCGCAATCTGCGGGTTGCGGGTTCGAATCTCCGTCCTACCAAACATGCTTACCCTTTCAGCCATGGGGGCGCTATAAGTAACGGTCAATCCCACTATTCGTTGGTAAAAAAGTAGCCCAATAGTTGGCAATGGGTGGTGATGACTAACTGCCTTCCCTCTAGTCTTACACTGCTAAATTAGGTACGGCTAGCGCAGATAGCCCTCGTGTAGCTTTGCGCGAAATTCAGAACAAACAAAATCCACCCAGTTTCAATTTGATTTATGGTCCTTAGATTATTTCATTTGAGATGCTATTTTTGCCAATTGCAATAGTTACTTACTTCTTCCGACTGTAAATTGTTAAAAACGTGAAAAATTGAAATTTTTATCGGTGGCTTAAAATCTGACCTTTCAACATTACTCAGCTATTACATTTGTCAAGTAAGGTAAAAATATTAATATTTTTTCTAACAATATTCTTGCTAGGAGATCAGTTTATATCTATTAAATATAGTTGATTTTTAATGAGTGATATTTTATTTACTTGCATCGTTCGAATAGCTTTGAAACAGATATAATTTAGCATAAACATTTCTTTGTACGAGAAAAACGTCAAAAGAAACTATAAAAAAAATCTCGTATCTTAAGCCATCTAAACTTCTAGCTAGCCGTTAGATTGCTTTGTTCGTCCCTACAGGAGTTGCAAGTAGTCACTTCCCACCAAAACATAAATTACTGATTGCGTCATCTTATTTACTTTACAGTGACTTAAATAGTTTATAATCTGCTCTATACAATCACAATTAAATGTTGCCTGTAGCTGTTATTGTGTACTTCTTTAGTAATAGTTTAAACCTTCAAAATGAAAGGGTGGTTAGAAAGGGATGCAGTAATAAAACTACTAAAAGAGAAAGGAATACACGAGAGAAACAAGAAACGGGTGATTACATTCTCAAGGGATGAAACGTTCTTACGAAATGTATAGCTATGCTTTGGGATGAGCAGAAAAATTTCTAAAAAATACGTTAGGTACGTCATTTGCAAGCGAATTTCACGAGAAGTGTGGAGAAGTAAAAGCTGAAACTTTCGTCTTTTTTCTTTTTTTTTTGCTAATTCCACTAAACAGATGTTACAAAATTTTGTTCAGTATTGTTGAAGTACAGATATTTATTGCTACCTTTATTTAAGTTTAGTAGTTTGATATGCATGTGTGCGCTTGGCACCTGAAAAGTATTCTGTGGTCGAATATGGATATAACCACAACGCAAATAAGTTTCACCTGTGGATACGAATAATAAAACACTAGAATATCAGACTTCTATTTTTTCCCCTCCTTTGTTAATGTCTTCCACCGGTTTCATGACTTCGAAGGTTACTCTTCAGGATATAATTTTACATTTTTTCTCTCCTTTATTAATTTTTTCCACCGGTTTCGGACTTCAAAGGTCACTCTTCAGGATATAATTTTACACTTTTCCCCTCCTTTGTTAATGTCTTCCACCGGTTTCATGACTTCGAAGGTTGCTCTTCAGGATATAATTTTACTTTTTTTCTCTCCTTTATTAATTTTTTCCACCGGTTTCGGACTTCAAAGGTCACTCTTCAGGATATAATTTTACTGATAATCTATAACAATAACATTCAAATGCTGTTTTTCAACTATATATATTAATGTGCATATATTCTTGACGATCATAAGAATAACCAAATTTTGTATCTATTTTCGCATTTAATATTATATTACATTTTATACGCCAGTCCCATTGTTATATTAATTTTGTATGCCATTATGATTAACAGAAAATAGATATTATAGATAACGATTTGGATCAGAATAGAAAAGTAACTTATAATAAAATTAATTACCAAAGCCTATTCTACATTATAGATTCACTACAGGAACTTATCATAGATCATTATACAAGAACACTGAAATCTATAACGTGTATTTTTTATTGGTAAAAATATTTGTATATAGATGTCACTAGTGTCTATTGTATTATTATATGTATACACAATGTATACTGCCATGATCTGGTAATTAGAGCACTCGACTCGTAATCAGCGTGTTGAGGGATGGAAACCCGGCGCCAAACATTCTCGCCCTTTCAGCCATTGAGGTGTTATAATGTCTTTCAATCCCACTATTCGGTGGTAAAGAGTAGTTCAAAAGTTGGCAGTGGGTGCTGCCTGTCGGTTGCCTTACCTGGGATCGGCAGTTCAAAATTAAAAACATCAGATAACTTTAGAAGGTTTGCCTTTCGATTAGCCCTTCTCCGAAGTTACAGATGAGGGTGGGATTCTTCGAATCTGGTATAACTCGATGACAAGTGGTGAATTGAATGATAGATCTGGCTTGATGTTTATTTTTGGCAAATAGTGTTTTTTTAATGATTCGTATAAACACTCGGAATATGTTTGCTTGCTTGTTTTAAACCAGGTCAAATCAGTAACAAGATCAACTATTTACTGACTGAATTATGTTGGATTGAAAAAGAAAACTTAAATTCACCTGAAGAAAAAAAATCAGTTATCGTGTTCGTTTCATATAATAAATAATGTCGACAGTCACCTTACAATAAACATCGCGCTAAAAATAGTCATGAATTACATGTAAAACACACATATAAACTGTATCAGTGATCGTAATTCTGTCAAATATTTCGATGGAAAAAATGGCGGTCCAGAAATGAATACAAGCTCACTTTCTTTACAGATGGCCCGGCATGGCCAGGTGGTTACGGCGCTCGACTCGCAATCTGAGGGTCGCGGGTTCGAATCCCCGTCACACCAAACATGCTCGCCCTTTCAGCCGTGAGGGCGTTATAATATGACGGTCAATCCCACTATTCGTTGGTGACAGAGTAGCCCAAGAGTTGGCGGTGGGTAGTATTGACTAGCTACCTTCCCTCTAGTCTTACACTGCTAAATTAGGAATGGCTAGCGCAGATAGCCCTCGTGCAGCTTTGCGCGAAATTCAAAACAAACCAAACCAATCTTTACAGATAATCTAGCTCAAACATCAAGGCATACCTCTATATCTGACTGTTGAGAGAAACGGTCATTCCCACTCCTCGATTATAATAACCTCAGAATTGGCAGTGGGTGGTTTTGACTAGCTACTTTAAGGGAATCCTACTAGTCTATTACTTCTAAATAAAAGTTGTTGTATTTTGTAATCTGTTTCTACAAGAGACCTGAGTATGAATAATCCAAATTTTGTCCCAACAGTTAAAATAAATATTAATGTATACGTACTATACTGTTTTTCAGGTCTTCAAGTAGTATTAAAATCTATTATCAAGGCTATGGCGCCTCTCCTCCAAATCGGCCTTTTGGTGCTGTTCGCTATTGTCATTTTTGCAATTATTGGCCTTGAGTTTTACAATGGTGCTCTTCATAAAACATGCTACAGTTTAGAAGATACAAGTAAGTAAAAATAATATTTACAAAAGTTATTTTTGCACTGTTATAATTGGTTAACTCATTGTTTATTGTTAACTTTTAATGTTCATTTTCGCCCATTGAATCGTCATTTCAGGAGTTGTATGTACAGAAATTATATGGTGTATTTATTTATAGTATTTTGCGTTAATGAAGATCATTTGATGTGATTTTTTTTAATTACGTGACATTTGACAAATTAAATAGCAGCGGCAACTTTTTGTACTATTTTCACAAATTTTTAAAGCCAAAAAATCTAACCACTTTCACGAGTACCTAGTACGAAGATTTTCAACAACATAATGAGTTTCAATATCTGCTTTGATCTTGGATTGCTGTATTTCTATCTTCAAATTTTTTAATACATCTCACAAAATCCATAAACAATAATTTCAAAAATGCCTTGAGCATGTACTGCATTCTTCCCCAGCATTAAAATAAAATGCTAGCTGTGAATAACGAACTTATTAGAATATTTTGTAAGTAATATAAAATTTCGGCTTATATAACAATACATGAAATATACATAAAAGTTGCGGCGATAATTATCGATTTAATTATCTCAAAACAATAATTATTTCAGACTTGATATTTAGTTGATGTCTTTTTGTGTGTTTGTTTTTTTTTTTGTTTTTTTTGAGTTAGAGTCCGGAGTTTGTTTCGTGTTACAAAACATCTGAAGTGTGTCAGTGCTCAAGAGACCTCCACAATTACCTTATTATTATGGCGCCATTACACTTTATTGATTGGCATTTCAGAGAACAGAGTACTTAGTATGCTATGTAGTTACTCCAAGTTTTATTACCACACGTGCTGCGTATTGGAGTCTCCCAATGGGTCAGCGATAAGATCACAGGCATACAACGCTAAAATCGGGGTTCGATTACCGCAGTGAAAAGTAAAAAAACAACCCATTTTGTAGCTTTATGCGATATGTGTGCTTATTGGAATGTCTGTATGTGAGTCAGCAATAAGTTTAGGGGCTTACAACTCTAAAATATAGGTTCGATTCCCGACGGTGGATAGGACGCATATAGACTATTTTGTAACAAACAAACAAAACATATTGCAATTAGGACTATCAAAATGATATAATTAGCAACTGTGCCTTCGTCGTCAGTGTTTTTACAAAAACAGAAAAAAATTGTTTTAGTAATTGAATTGTTTATCAAATATGACGTTTCACATATATGTATAGATATAAAGAATTAATAAATAAGAAACCAACCAATGGTTTTGTGAGGAAATTCCTTAGCATGCTTCTAAAGTTAACGTTTAGAACAAGTACCTGTAACCGATAACCTTTGTTGTACATTAGTTTCATTGCAATCATGTCCAATAGTCAAATAAAAAATAACATTTTTATTGTCTTTATTTACTTTTATCTCGCAATGATCTATTATACTTTAATTAATTGAAATTATTAATGTAATAACGTTCCACTCTTTTATTTACTTCTATCCTTCCCCAATAGCCCCCAGTGGCACAGCGGTATGTCTGCGGACTTACAATGCTAGAACCCGGGTTTTGATACCCGTGGTAGGCAGAGCACAGATAACCCATTGTGTAGCTTTGTGCATAACTAAAAACAAAACCTTCCCCAGTAAAAAGTAATAACTAATGTAATGTCTGCTCTATTCGACGCTATCACTTTATCAGGTGGATTTTCTTGTGCTAAATTATTAATTTATCGCCTGTGCCATAAAGACAGTTGTGATTATGATGTTTTACTATCAGAGTTTGATATTGATATTATCAAATTGTGTTTTTCACTAGTAGAATATCAGTTGATTTTTAAGTCAAGTATTTAACATGAATTCAATATGATTCATGTTTGAATGAAGTCTTTTACTTTTCTGTCAAAATAAATGTTTTATAATTTGATAAAAACCTTACTTGAATGAATTGTACCCGGTTTCTGCATAGGGATTCTAAGTTTTAATTTATGTTTATTACATATAGATTGCTGCCATGATTTACGAGCCGCCCCCCCCCCCCAGTTTCCTTAAACACCATTTCAAAGAAAAAAGAAATATTAATAGGTGGTAAAAAATACATTATTATCGTGGGTATTTGAATAAGCTGGAATATTTTGCAAAACATTGAATTAGAAAATTTTAATATCACTATCGGAAGTTCGAAAACTAGTTGTTGTTTTTTTTTGTCTCTAAAACGACAGCACAAGGTTCAGCATGATATCAGTATGACAACGAAAGAAGGTTTTAAGTCATTAACTTTATTTTTATTTTATATTTCTTGGGCTTATTTGATTTCTATTTATTTCATATTCTTTGCTTATGACATCTGGAATGACGACTTAACGTTTTCTGAGTCGGTGTTTTGACAGTTTGCGCGCATAGCAGACCGAATTAGTTGTCCATAGACCTATCATCTTTCACTACTAGTGTGTTCGTTTTCCATTTTAGCAGTCGGGCCATTTGATTAAGGCTTATATAATTTTTATTCATTTTTGAAACAATAAATAAATATATATATCTGTGTGCAAATAGTATAGCAAATACTCCCATAATAGGCTCAATTTTTCTTATTACATTTTAACCTTTAAAAAACCCAAGAGTGTCCAGCCATCCCCTGAACCACCAATTATCTCCCCCTCTCCCCAGTGAAATCTGAAATAGCGCTCTTGGATTATGGATAAATAACAAAATATTAAAACATGCATTTTTATTTTGTTTACAAAATAAACCTGGCACTGGAATTTTTACCTATAAACGTGGCAGTGAAAGGTCTGATGAGATATTTTATTTGTCTAATACGTTATTCAAGAGTATCTGAAAGAACGTTATTCCATTGAATTTATCCGTGGTAACAAATTTTTTTCTATGCCTACTAAAGGTGAAATAGTCGCGGAAGGCGAACAGGAAATCCCCTGTTACTACACCCTCGACCCTACGAACGCCCCTCAGGGTGCACGCACGTGCGATCCAAACGGAGCGATCTGCTTGGAAAAGTGGAGAGGTCCCAACTTTGGTATAACCAGTTTCGACAACATTTTCTTTGCCATGCTTACAGTATTTCAATGCATCACACAAGAAGGATGGACGTCAATGCTGTATTGGGTAAGAAAATTTTCAAAGTAAGCCTAGTTTATTCACTAAAGTCGTACAGTGTAAATATATAGAAACATACTTTTTAACATTCTTGTATTACTCTCTTGCTAATTACACATTTTGTGATATCTTTAAACTACATATTCTAACCGCATGCAATTAGGCGTATTGTACATTTTTTTATCAGAAATTTTATTTGTTACCTGAAAAATTACCATCATGTGAACGAAAATCGATATTCATCTGAGATGATCTATATTAGGCCTAATGAAACTTTTTTTTCTAATAGAAACATAGAGATACTACATCCGAGATGATTTTTATTAGGCCTAAAGAAACTGTTTTCTTATAGAAACACAGATACTACATCCGAGATGATCTATATTCGGCCTAATGAAACTTTTTCAAATAGAAATATAGAGATACTGCATCCGAGATGATTTATATTAGGCCTAACGAAACTCTGTTTTCTAATAGAAACATAGGGATACTACATCCGAGACGATCTATATTAGGCCTAATGAAACTCTGTTTTCAAATTAAAACATAGAGATACTACATCCGAGATGATCTATATTAGACCTAATGAAATTCTTTTTTCTAATAGAAACATAGATATATTACATCCGAGATAATCTATATTAGGCCTAATGAAAGTGTTTTGTAATAGAAACGTAGAGATACTGTTAGTCACTGTATTTCGTAAAGGTTGCAAATTGTTTTATTCTAAGAAGAAAATTAGCATTTCTAAACACAATTAGCTGAATTTATGGACAGATTTTGTTAGAAAGTTAATACCATCATTGTTATATTTTCTCACTGAAAACCAGACATGGTTCATATACTTGTACA